CTGTATCCTATACGGAACCATCATATAACCTGACGTGCTTTATCGATTTAGCTACAGAGGAGCGTTTCGATTAGCAAGGTCGATTTTACTGTTTTTAAACTACAATTCTCCATGATTTTCTCTCGTACATTCATATCTGCTCGTCATTTGTTTACATTTCGATACGTATCTGTTTCATCTTCAAGCGAAAAAATTTTCGCTTGAGGATGAAACAGGGCTTGATACTTTAATTCATTTTAATTCTAATAATTATATTGAGGTTTTCGGCTCTCGTTTTTGAAACATGAGAACTCTTATATAACGAAAGAATCATATTTTTACAAATAAATATAATTTAAGCTCTACTTCTGTATGGAGCACTGCTTGTTTGTTTTAAATGAAAACAAAAATACTAAAGAACTCCGGATTATTTACCTAACGTTTTCTTTCCTATTACTCTACACACACACACACACACACACACACACACACACACACACACACACACATATATATATATATATATATATATATATATATATATATATATATATAGTAATCCTTCTTCGAAACCTATTTCATTAAGTTTCAGAGCACATATGTTAAATCTTTTATGAAATTTATAATTCATTTATCTGAAACAGACCAAGGATGGTCAGACGTGCACGGAATATAAAATACATTTATTTGATACAATGATGTTTACTGTTTACAAAGCAAGAGAATCAATCGAAGTAGAGGGTAACAGAAGAGGCACTCTTTATCCGTATATGTGGGGAAGATAACGGTTAACTTGAAAAACGTAAGATTGTAATGATCGTGGAAGCATCCTCTTGGGAGTCAGTTCCACAAAGTAGTACTTCGTGGGTAGAAGCCTTTTTTGTATAACTTCTATCTCACAAATGGAATACGAAGGGAATACAAGTGATTAGCTCCAATGTGAGTGGAATGAAAGGTTTTACTCGTGAACGGTATAACGTGTGGAACAAAGAAATATAGTTCGCCTGAGTCTTTTCCAAGTAAATATCGATAATGCTTGCAAGGTTTTGTCTAGGGGAAAAGTGATGTAAGGTGAAAAAGGCCACACAGACTATTTTAACATTATTGAGATTGGAAAATGAAAACTAATTAGTTCCTCACTATTTACATTAGTCGGACTATTGACCTCATCTTTGTCGCCATATTTATTACAACGTTTCGGCCGTTGTACGCTCCAGCCTTCTTCAGGTGGTTGGAATGTCAAACCGAACCCTTTATTTCGCTCACTGGGGTAGACTGTTCTAGTTCCATGTGCCATGTTTAATGGATGTTAATTTCCCTCTCCAAGTTCTCCAAAAGGACACATGGCACAGTAGATTAAGGCGTTAGTTAGATCCAGTGATAGGACCCCAAAAGTGTGAGTTCAATACACGGTTAAGGTAGTGGAGAATTTTCAGAGGGGAATTAACTGGAGATAACTGATAACTGACATCCATTAAAAATGGCAAGTGGCACTAGAACAGTCTACCTCAGTCAGCGAAATAAAGAGTTCAATTCGACATTCCAACCACCTGAAGGAAGCCGGGGCGTACAACGGCCGAAACATTGTAATAAATACGGCGACAAAGATGAGGACAATAGTCCGAATAATGTAAATAGTATACATAATACCTCATCGTAGAAATATAGACAGATACTGAAGGGCCGAAAAGTTGTAATAAATATGACGGCAAAGATGAGGACAATAGTCCGAATAATGTAAATAATGTACATAATACCTCATCTCAGAAATATAGACAGATACTGAAGGGCCGAAACGTTGTAATAAATATGGCGACAAAGATGAGGACAATAGTCCTCATATAGCAATATAGTTCTTTAATGAGCTCAACTCCTTACACAATGGTTTGTCTTTCACTATGGAAGGGGAGAAGGACAACTGTCTGCCCTTTTTGGACGTTTTTGTTGAACGCAGTAGAGGTGGTTTTATTACTAGCATCTATCGTAAACCCACCTTTACGGGCCTTTATTTGAATTGGCGTTCATTTGCTCCTGCATCAAGGAAAATCAATCTTGTTAAAACCTTGGTGTATAGAGCGCTTAAAATTTGTTCTCCTATTAGATTGGACCGTGAATTTGAGAACATTAGGGAGATTTTCCTTAGTAACGGCTATCCGGAGGCCCTTATTGACTATATTATTAGTAAGAAGACTAAGGAATTTCATTCCCCTAAAAATAGGGGCCTTCTAAATGTCCGGTTTATTTGAAGATTCCCTGGATTGGGGATAGGGTCAGGGCTTAATTAAGCAGGTTAGCAAGTCGGTTTCGGTTGTTTCCCATCAGTTGCTTTTTACGTAGCATTTTTCGAACTAGGTCTGCGTTTCCGTCTTTTCGCAAGGATGTATTGCCCTACATCAAATTGAGTAGTTTAGTATATGAATTTAATTGCCAGTGTGCTGCTGGTTATGTGGGGCGTACAACCTTGCATTTGGAAACTAGAATCAATCAGCACGTACCTTCAAAATACGACTTGGTAAGATAGATAGAATATGCTATCTTCCCCCCATGAATATGGAATCGGCTATTGCTCAACATTTAGTTGAGAATATAGCCTGCGCCAAGTTGTTAAAAAAAAAGAGTGGTTTAAAATTATTCATACAGCCGATTCCAACAATCATTTGAAGATTTTGGAATCAGTCTGTATAGGATTAAGAAACCTTCTCTCTGCCGGCAGAAAGAATTTGTAAAGTCTTTTAATCTGTTGGGGATATTTTATTTTAACTGTCCTCGCTAATTTATTTACACGATTATTTCCTCTCCCTCGTTACAAGTATATATACTTGTTTGTTATTTTAGTGTGTTTCCCCCTCTTTTTGCTCTTCATTATCGTTAATATTCTTTTCGCTAATCCAACGATTGTCTCCTGATGAGATGTTGGCTGAAAGGACCCTAGAGTCTTTTAAAATTAAAATCAATGCATTCCTTGTTTGTAAAACTATATATAAATTTTGTACCTCCAAACATTTGTTTATATATATATATATATATATATATATATATATATATATATATATATATATATATATGCATGTGTGTGCGTGTGTGGTCAGAGCGGTAACTAATTACAAATCAAATCTTTCGCATGTTATTTAACTCCATTGCAGTACTCTGGAAGCTGGGCCCTTCCATTATTGGTAATATTTTCTATAATAATAATAATAATAATAATAATAATAATAAAGTGATACAAAGAAGACTCTACTATTACTGTTGCTACTACTACTTACTAATTATAATAAAAAGAGAAAAGGGAAGAATACAAGAGGGAGTGGGATGGAATAATAATAATAATAATAATAATAATAATAATACCCACAGAAGACTGCATATCATAGTGACTATATTGGGGTTTGTATATTTGTATTTGAAAGTGACGCTCACTCACACAATGATAATAAAAAAAACATACACAGCTTAACCTTTGAGCCAAAGTTATTATTGCTGACAGATAACCGAAGAAATGATAGATAGATAGATAGAGAGAGAGAGAGAGGGGGGGAGAGACAGACAGACTAACATAGATAGATAGATAGATAGATAGATAGATAGATAGATAGATAGATAGAAACAGAATGAGAGAGATAGATTGAAAGAAAGAAAAAAAGGCAATGAGAAAATTGACATTATTTAAGAAAGATATTTTTAGTATTCCCCATCCAATGCACTCTGGTGCGCTAGACGCAAAGGTTTTTTTTTCTCAATCGCGCACATATCAGTTGTTGAGCTGTACACCTTGTTCACCTCTAGGTTTACTACTGACTATAGGTGAATTAAAGATCTCCACTCTCGACAGGAATCATCTAGCTTCTTTTGACGATCTGGTGTGAAATTGAATGCAAAGCTTATTTTCGCATGGCCCATGATCACACATACACACATACATCACATACACACACATATACATACACACATATATATACATACACAAATCTTATATATATATATATATATATATATATATATATATATATATGTGTGTGTGTATATATATATATATATATATATATATATATATATATATATATATATATATATATATATATATATATATATATATATATATATATATATATATATATATATATATATAAGAAATATAGTTTTAAGGTGTGCTATATTTAGGGAAAAGTGCTCAATACCAGAGATAGAGCGTATGTAAATATAAAAGTGAACATTGAAGTCAACACTCAGAGGCGACAGGCTGTTTCATCCTGGACTCAATTGTGACAGTGTTCATAATTGATATTATTCCGTGTCGCTTATTCTTTTTATTATTAAGGCTTCCTATTATATTATATATATATATATATATATATATATATATATATATATATATATATATATATATATATATATATATATATATATATATATATATATAAATATACATATATATATATATATATATATATATATATATATATATATATATATATATATATATTGAAAATATAATTCAATTGACCAGTGTTGAGTGATAAGCTAATTCTATAAACAGCCACCTTCGCTAATGCAAAGCTCTTCAGTAAAATAAATAGAGCACTTCGGCTGATTGGCAATTTGCGAGATATAACTGTGCAACTCTACCTAGTGAAGATAGCGCAGTGGTTGAAGCTCAAACTGCCACCAAATCTGTTGGGTTTCGATACTGGCTTGAGGCATTCTGATATCTAGTCGAACTGAGGGGCTGTGAGATAGTACTGTCTGTAAATGACATAAATATATTTTTTTTACTTGATCAATGTTCTACAGGCCCCAAGAAAATTGTTCCTGGGCTAGAAAGGATTACAACTAAAATAAATAGGCTTAATATGTTTGTTTTCGTGAAATTCTTGAAATATTCCCGCCATAGTTAGGATGTCTGTTGTTCATATCTTTTTACTGTTCACTCCAAATAATGTATCGTTTTAAGCAAGATAAAAAAGAGTGACAATCTTTCCCTAATTACTAAGAGTACTCGCCTAAAAATAGTATCTTTCTTAATGTCAATTTATCTATCTCATTTTGTTTCTATCTATCTATCTATCTATCTATCTATCTATCTATCTATCTATCTATCTATCTCTAAACCTAGAGGTGAACAAGGTGTACAGGTCAACGACTAATATGTGCGCGATTGGGAAAAAAAACTTTGGTTCTAGCGCTCCAGAGTGGGAGAATACTAAAAATATCTTTCTCAAATAATGTCAATTTTCTCATTGTCTTTTTTATTTATCGCAATCAATCTATCTATCTATCTATCTATCTATCTATCTATCTATCTATCTATCTATCTCTGTCCTTTCATATCTATCTATCTATTTATCTATCTATCTCATTCTGTTTCTATCTATCAATGTATCTATCTATGTATATTTGTTATTATCATTGTTTGAGTGAGCGTCATTTTGAAAAACAATTGTACGCTGTTGTACAAATATACAAACCCCAATATAGTCAGTATGATATGCAGTCTCCTGTGGGTATTATTATTATTATTATTATTATTATTATAGAAAAATGTTACAAATGCTGGGGCTGTCTTGTTCTTCATTTCAACCATTTTGATTCTTGTACTGACTGTAAAGTCTATGCTTCATAAATAGCTTTCAGCCCTTATATATTATTTTCTTTTCACCTGCTCACACAAGGTGAGATCGTACGCTATCCTAATTTCATGGTATTAATCGATACTACAGCTTTTTCCGGCGCAAATAAGAACTTTTGTCTGTGTGTTCGTTGCTCAAAAATTCCCCGAAATTCCGGAGTCATTTTGCGTAATATTTGGTCTGAAGACACAATAGTTTCGTATTGGGAGGCGACTTTTATAAACGTCATTACACCTGATCGTTTTTCCTTGCGAGGATTTGAAAAAAAAAAGGATTAATCAGCTATAAGTTGTCGGATAGACAAAGATCATCACGACCCTGACTCTCAGCGCACCATTTTCATTCGACCTGTTTACTGTTTCACTTGCTTGTCTGAATATATTATAGAGAACAATATCGTTTCAATATACAGTTTTCCACACTGGTCATATTCCTTCCTTCCTTCCTTCCTTCCTTCCTTCCTTTCTATCTATCTATCTATCTATCTATCTATCTATCTATCTATCTATCTATCTAAGTTTATTCATATCTCTCTCTTTACCTCTGCTTATTCATATCTATCTATCTATCTATCTATCTATCTATCTATCTATCTAAGTTTGTTCATATCTCTCTCTATCTATCTATTTATATCAGTTTGTTCATATCTATCTATTTCTGTCTTTCTCTCTCTTTCTCCCTCTCTCCCTATATATATATATATATATATATATATATATATATATATATATATATTAGGATATTACATCGAAAACATGTCAAAATCGCCACACAATTGCAGTCGTGTTTCGATGCGTAACAATACATCTCTTCAGGTAATGGTAATTTACAATCGCCTGATGAGATACATCGAAACCCGACTGCAATTGTGTAACGAATTTGACATGTTTGCAGTGTAGTATCCTAAAAGAAATAATATTGCTCTACTTTGTATTGAGCCCTCTTTTAAATTAAAGGTTACGAACGTTGGATTTGTACATTATTCCTTCTCATCTTACTTTTGATATATATATATATATATATATATATATATATATACAGCGTCTCCATAAAGTCTGTGTTCAATTTAAAAGACTGAAGTATCTTAAATTGCACACAAAAATGTTATGGACAAGAGTGGCGGAAAGCAGAGTGCATGAAAACGAATATTCGTGCACATACAAATTGTTAATTTATTGTATTTCCAAATAATGCATCGACAAACTTTTCGTGTAATTAACTGTACACAGATGCATAATAACTAAAGATGCTTAGAAAATTGAAAAAATATTTTAATAGAAATAAATCCCATTTATTCATTTTAATGAGTAAAAAGAGTATTCGTACAATGCAAATTTCAGTTTTTAAAACTTTTAAATTGCATTAATACTCTAGATTATTCAAGCGGAATCTTCTAGGATGTTTCAATAATGATATCAGTAGTTAGTTTTAGCCTAAAAATACAAATAGAATATTCTGTAATTGATATACGTGCAAGAATTTTATCGTCAAGGCAAGATGTAAAAAAATGACAATTTCGAAAAAAAGAACTGATTGTTAAACTCTGAAAACAAGGAAAATCTCAGACAACTTTAATATTCCATTTACTACTATTAGTTCATTCACTGCATCGTATAAAAACTCAAAACTTTTGAAAACCAAAGAAGACGGTTGCTCCACGGAAGATTTCTGCAAGATCTTTGAGAAAATTAATACGTCAAATTAAACAAAATCCAATTGTTACTCGTCAGGTGTTGCAGGATGATTTGCTTTCATCAAGAATCTGTGTCACTAAACAGACAATAAGCAATGAAATATATATCAGGTCATCCGTTCTGTCCGAATTTTGAATAAAGAAAACAAGTGACCAAATGTTACATTTAATTACAGAATCAATCAACAATATATTTTCCCTGATTATCTATGACTTCCTTCCATCTATTAACAAGCTTACTAATTCCATTACTGTAAAATTCTTTTGTCTTTGATTCGAAGAACTCACAAATGTCAGTTTTAACCTCATCCTGTGTTACAAAAGCTGTTTCTTCCAAATGATTCTGTAAGCTACGAAACAAATGGTAGTCTGATCGGGAGAATAAGGTGGATGAGGAATTTTCTCCCAACCAAGTTCTTCGATCTTTTGTGACGTGATTCTTGCTGTGTGGGGTTGCGCATTGGTCTGATGAAACATCACCTCTTTTCGATTCACTAGAGCAGTGTGACGTCGTCCCCTGGTCGCTGCGCCAACTGTGACGTCCTATCCTGGTATCCACGGCACCAACTGTGACGTCCTCGCCGCGGCGCCAGTTGTTCGCTCCTCGCTGCTCCGTCGGGTGTCGCCGCTCCAAACGTGACGTCCGCCTGTCGCGTCAGTCGTGTTGTCTCGTCCTGTGACGACCAACTGGCTTGGTATCGGTCGCGGCACCCAAATGTGACGTTCTAACCTTTTGGTGATTCGGGTGGGAATCTGGTTAGATTTGATATCAGCCTCGTCGTTCCCAACTCGCTTCCAACGCCTGGTTACCAAAGTAACTGCATTGATCTCCAGTCTGCCTACCCACGTTGTGAATTGATCTTAGGCAGACGAGATCAATCAGTAGTTGGGGGCGTAATGCAAATCGGATTCAACGGGGGTGACACCACACAAATATGCATAAAAGAAAATAAAATGAAAACTCAAAAGTTCAAGATATCAAAGAAAAAGATAACAAACTTTATGTCTAGTTGTTCGATACATAGGACTGCATCTATCTCCCGACCCGTTCTATGGATTGTGACACGTTGTTTTCCGTTAGGCGAGTTTTATCGCTTCAAGTTGTTTGCTCTTTAAGAAATTGGTTTTTCGGTGTGTCTTCGGACGAAAGTCGAAAAAAACTTATTTTGGTGGTCTGGATCTAAGTCGCTCTTCAAAATAATTGTTCTTGGATTGAAGAGGAGTCCGGAATGTGCGTGAATCTTTCAAGTCAGCTATCTGCGAGGCGGAACCAACTTCCACTTTGCTGAACTGAACTGAACTCAACTTAACTGCAACTCTTCTCGAACTGGAACTTAACTGATTTCCGCTCGCTGCGTCTTCGCTTATATGGACGCCGACCAAAACCGGGGTGGGTTTGTCGGCGTCGAGGATTCCTCGATAATTCTAAATACATATCCACCTCTTTTATTTCTGGTTAGGAATTTCCACTCTTTTCCATTTTTGGGAGCCTTTTCTTACTCCCACCTTCTCACCATACTTCAGAGGGGCGTGAGCTTCCCTCCCCACTTCTTCGTAGCAGCTTCTCATACCTATCCTCTGGATGGGCGGCGACAGCTTCCTTCGTGCGTCACGTGATCACCACTCGACCAATGATGTCTTACTCGGGCGTGGACGAATCTGCGGCTTTGTTTCAGGAAAAAAAATATCTTGCTTAACTAAAAAAAAAAAATTATCTTTGCTTTTCCTTTTCTTCCTCTTAATCGCAGTTATCATTTTCTCTAGCCGCAAACAGGACAAGACGGTGGTCATAACTCTTGTTCTACACCTGGGCTTCGTCAGTACTTATCGCTAATTATCAGAATGGGTGGTCTTTTTAACACGACCAGACGTCGCCCCGAAAGAACATTTCTAAGTTCCCATTCATTTCCCTTCGGTACATATTTCTGATAACATAATTTTATTATCGCAGGCTAAAGATGTTCCGTCGAAAGAAATCGGTCAGTGGACACATCGTGTGCGGCCTTTGACACAAATTTTTCATATGTATCCAAAGCCCCTTTGTCCACCTGTTTTCCGTCACTTATCGAAATAACATTTTCATTTGCATTTTTCTTTGGCCAGCAGTTTGTTTACGCATCCCAGATAACACAGCCGTCGCCAAAACACACCCGATTCCTTTATCCACTCAGAATTTCCTTGTCATTGTAATGACACTCTTTCGCCATTTGTTACTTATCAAAATATCCTTTAACCATTGTCTCTTAGCCGTGGTGTTCTGCTTATCATCCACGTTTTGGGTCTCGCCTCTTTTTTTCTTCTTCCTCGGTAAATGGTGCCACAGCAGGTCTTTTTTTCCTCAAAGCTTGGTTCAAACGCTGTGGCAGGGGTCCTTCCCCTTTACAAAGACACTGTCTACAACGCTTAACATTTCGATAAAAGATCCATTTTTCGTCTATCCAAAAAAGGTTAAACAAGTTGGCGAGAATGGAAAGAAGAGCAGATGTCAACTCGGGATTTGAGGTTGTTTTCAGACAATTCCTGAGGCACCCATTTTCCAAGTTTAGGAACTTTTCCAAGTTGTTGAAGATGACGATGAACAGGTGTATGGTTTGAAATGAGAACCACTGCCAATTCCTCAACTGATAAAGCAGGATTTTCTTCAAAGACTGCTTCAAGAAGCTTTTCATCAAACTGAACTGGACGTCCGGTTCGATGTTTATCTTCAAGGGTGAAATCTCCACCTCTGAATTTTGCAAACCATCTTCTGCAAGTTCTTTCATTAACACATTCCTCTCCATAAAGTGAGTGAATGTTTCTAGCCGCTTCGGTTTCCTTGAACTCATAAAGCATTATGTGCCTCAAATGATTCTTGCGTACTTCCATGTTAGCAGGGTTTTAATTTACTTTTATTGTTCTCTGAAATAAAATTTGATCAGTTTAAATGCATCTAAACATAAAAATAATGCTCAGCTCCATTAGACATTATAAAATACTCTTTAAATTTCGTTCATTTTAACAAAAAGTTAAAATTCGGACAGAACTTATGGGATGACCTGATAGAAACAATGAAAAGTCAGGCTCCCCACCCCAGGAAAATCTGCACTGGTATTGAAATGATACAGAGATGCCGGGTTGAAATTCTTATTGGGAAAGAGTTTTATGGTCAGACGAAAGCAAAATTGAATTTTTGGGACGTAATTCTAGAAATCATGTATGAAGATGGCGATGTCTTCAAGTAAAAGAACAAAGTTTCAACAGTGAAATTTTGTAGTGGCGTAGAAATAAAAATCGATTATTGATTTTTTTTTTTAAATTATCGATGTTTTACCCTAAGAACCTATGTCTTATATTGTGTAATGTACCAAGTTTGCTCAAAACGGTTGGATAAACCTCTAGTGAGAACGTATCAAACTGAGAGACAGGCACACAGACATCCCCTGTTTTATAGATTAATGCATAGATTACCTTGAATTAAACTCTTTTTTTCTACTGACAATTTCACTCAATGAAATGGAGGACTTTTATTATGTTTATTGCTGTAATTTCGATAGATCTGTTAGTATGGCCATTACATGTCGATATTTGCCAGACTATTTATCGGCATTTTTATTGTTTAAGGTCATCTTGGAAACTAAAAAAACGAGGTACGCATGAGTAAAACACCTTTATAAATAAACAATAAATCTCACAGAATATGGCATAAATGTTTTAACATGTATATATATATATATATATATATATATATATATATGGTATAGATGGTTTGTTATTTATCTGTGTATATTTTTGAGATGAGGTATTATAATTATTTACACTATAATCATTGTTCGGACTGTTGTCCTCATCTTTATTGTCATATTCCCGACGTTTCGGCCATGGTACGCTTCGGCCCTCTTCAGGATATGTCTATATTTCCGAGATGAGGTATTGTAGCTATTTACCCCATTTACATTGTTCGGACAATTGTCCTCATTTTTGTTGCCA